GGGGGGGTGTATGATGGAATAGCGAAGGTTGAGTTTGAGGTGGGAAGGGGGAGGGGGGATTTTGTCTCAAATCTCTCCTGAACTTCCTTCCGCTTCCAAGGTAAAAGAAAGAAGAATTAAAGCATAATAGCCTGTACATTATTTTTCAGTGTTACGTACGTGTTTTACACCCCATCGATACAATTTAGGTAATTTAGATGGCGGGCTTCGACCCTGGTTGTCAAGCCCACCCGGGTGAGAAGGAGATAACATCCTAGCAGAAAGACAAAACCCACCCCTTCCAGTTGTTGGGAAGTTTGTGATGATGAACAATTGGATAACAAAACTTGATTCGTACAAAGGAGGAATAACCATCCATACGTTAAGAGTTTATAAAACAAAAAAAAGAAAAACAAACAAACACATAGCAAACAAACTAAACAAAGAGAATAAAAGATCTGAAAGAGCGTGTTGACGTGTCACCTGCAGATAGTCGTCCTGGTCTCTGAATAGCTTGACAAGTGGCGAGGAGTAGCGCTGAAAATCTCCCTGAGTTCCGGATGTGGATGCATCCGTGGTCTGTTGATGACCTTCAGGGGTCACATTATCCTTGACTGGAGAAAGAAATTATGGGACGAGGAAAAATGTACCGTATTACATAAGTATTGTGTTTTTGTAACCCGTTTCGTCTTTCTTCCTCATCAAACATCTGTCGACGGGTGGTTGGTGAGCGCTCTAGTGCAGTTTGCTCATTCTATCCTTTCAAGGCTGTTTTGTTTTTATCTGTCCTCCTTCTTTTCTTTGTATGTTACTCTCAAGCAACGCCTTTAATCTTCGGTACCTATATGACCTATTTGTTTTGCACGTGCCGTTAAAATCGAACGTAAACTGAAGCAAATGTTCTACGCCTCCAGCGATATAATTACAATAATATTAACAGCGGGGCGCATGGTTCACTCAGTTGGTATCATGCCGGACAAGAAAGCGCATTATCCTACTTCGAGTTATTTCAAAGGGAGCGTTCTGAACTTGGATTGTTTTTGTTTTTTTTGTTACGTGTTTAAGGCTTACCACCCATTTGGCTAAGCTCTATCGGAGATGGATGGTAAATGCGGAGGTCGGGTCTCTTTAACAGCTTAGCAGTATTGAGAGAGTCTTTGAACTTATACAATAATTACTTAAGACTAATTAATTGATTCATAGCGCTAATTCCCGATTTATAGCACAGGCCCTGAACTTGTAAGATTAAAAACAACTTATGAGATTATTAGTGGTGGTGGTGATGATGATGATGATGATGATGATGATGATGATGATGATGATGATGATGATGATGATGATGATGATGATGATGATGATGATTATGATGATTATGATGATACTGATAATAATAACCTAATAATAATAATAACAACAATAATAATAATAACAAAAATAATAATAATAATGATAATATAATGATAATAATAACAATAATAATAATAATTTAAAAAAATATAATAATAATAACAATAATAACAATAATAACGATAATAATGATAATAATAATAATAATAATAATTATTATAATAATAATAATAATAATAATAATAATAATAATAATAATAATAATAATAATAATAATAATAATAATAATAATATAGGTCTAGCACTATACTAACGCTCGACAGCATGCTTTATGCGCTTTACAACTTTTATTAATTAAGTTTACACCCGCAGACCCTAGAACTAGAACTCCCAGAAACATTCTCAGCTTCCGTGGAAGCATACAGTGCAAACTGCGGGTTACACGTGATCAAACATTAAGGCACTGGCAAGATCTTCCACTATTCATTTATAGCCGGCTACCCAATCCCATCTGGATGAATGTAATTCGAGGAAAGTTTGTGTGAAGTGCCTTTTCCAAGGACAAAACGTCTGGTCACTGATGGAATTCGAACCCACGACTTTACAGTTGACAGGTCGAGAGCCTAACCACTTGACCACGGCTTTTGATAGGCTCTGTAAAACGTCGAATAGCTTAACTGCGAATAGCGAAACAATCATAAAAGTTGAACAGTAGGAGAGTCGTGTGTGGTTGGCGGTACTCTGGTGTGGTTTGCTTCTTCTTTCCCACAAGATTTCTGTCGTCCTCATTTCTCCTCTTTTTTTAGTACGTAGATCTATCCCTCTTGAAACACCTAAAATATTCGCTCGTATATGACTTAATTGTGTTGCACGTGCCGTAAAACTCTTACTAAAACGCTACCTCAGAAATACAGTTTCAACTGACATTACATTTTTTGGACGTTTGAGTTACTAAGACCTTGAGGTCAGAAATTTTAATGTTCTATAATCTGCTCTATCAAAATCGTACAATTATTCGGAGCCGTTATCAAGATAATACTATTCAAAGAATTGCATTCGTAAAAACTTGACATGATCAGAAACTCAATATCTTTGACGTTAAATTTGTCAAAACTAGGTACTGAGCAAATTGAACTTTGCAATTCTGAGGTAGCCAAAACTAATAATAATATTTTTTTTAAAACACAGAAAAAACCCAGCAAAAACCCCCAGTAAAGTTGTCGAATGAACACAGCACTCTCTAGTCTTAATTCTTTACCTCCGGTTTTGGAGTCATCTCCCATTCCAGTCGCTGCCTCATCCCTGACACCCACAGCCACACTACCGTATGCACCGACTGCCGGCTGCTTCTGCCGCTGCTGTTGCAGCCGGTGCTGCTGTTGACGCTGTTCATGATAATGCTGCTGCTGCTGCTGCTGTTGTTGTGGTTGTGGTTGTGGTTGTGGTTGTGGTTGTGGCCCCTGTTCTCTGCCGAAGGAGCTCAAGTCAGATAGGCTGGCCTCTATCAACCGTTTGGGTCTCCGATCCGTGTGCTTAGAGTCAGCGCTCATCCCTCTGGGCCGGGAACAGTCGATCTTCTGGACAGGACTCGCTCGAGATAGTGGCGTGCTGGGACACTGATTTTTTAAATTTTTAAAACAGAAAAAAATTTGGAGGGGTGAGACACAATTGAAGACAAGGCCCTAAAATCAAAAGCACATCAGCACCGAGGAGGCTATACTATAAAAAGAGTTCATAGGTTGTTGGTGCACACTGGAATGAATTATACTTGATGATGATGATGATGATGATGATGATGATGATGATGATGATGATGATGATGATGATGATGATGATGATGATGATTTTTGTAAGAGTTTTACGGCACTTGTAACTCAATACGGTCATATAAGTCCTGAAGATTAGAGGTGTTACAAGGGAGTAACAAACATAAAAAAGAAGTTGGGGAGGTGAGGACGATATATATTTGATAGGAACGAAGAAGCAACCCACGATAATGATGATGATGATGATGATGATGATGATGATGATGATGATGATGATGATGATGAACAGAACAGCATGGACCGAAATTTCGGTGTGACTGAAATGTGTAAAGAAGCAAGTTACCTGGAATCTTCGTGTATGCTGCGTTGAAGGCTCTTCCCCCTGTCCCGCGAAGATGGGCGTGTTGTGGCTGGCGTGCCCCTGGCGGGAGTTGATCACCTGGAACCCCAGTCTGTTAAGTCGTTCCCGATCCGCCATGGGCTGGGACTGGGGCCTCCTGAAGCCGGCCGCTCGCTCCTGGAGGAAGCGCTGGGAGAAGGAGGAGGGGGCGCGGTCGGTGTTGACTGCGGAGTGTCCTGTGTCTTCGACGTACGCTGGGTACATGTTCTCGTGGCTCGGAGTGGGGGAGGAGGGAGCCTCTGTGTTCTGCCGACGAGGGGAACGATCGCCACTGGCCTCCAGGTCCTCTTTCTTGTCTTTCTTGTCGTTCTTTGTCTTTTCCGGGGACATGCGTTCCTGCCCCACGGTGTCTTCAGGTTTTCTATTAGCTACGAGGTTCTCGCCTTCCTGTTTTCCATCGTTGTCGGGTTGCTCCTGCTGGACTGTTGGGCTGCTGTCTTGTTTTCTGTTAGCTAATATTTCCTTCATGATCTTAATGATATCAGAGGCTCTCTGATCGTTTGACGGCGCCGATTGCTGTCTACTCTTTTTACCATCAGCTCGCTGTACAGCGTCCCTTGGCCCAGCATAGCCGATTATGGGAGATGGCGTGGGGGTCAAATCAGACTCATCCTGGCTTTGTCGTGACGACGACCCTGTGTATGAGTCCATAAACATGATTGAGCTGGTATTGGTAGAGTCGGATCCCAGAAAGCTTTCCCTGTCCCAGAATGACCTGTCTACCGACGAGAGCTCTTCTCTGGACTCGCATTGCCCGGACACTTCACTTGACCTGGTGTCCACCGCTGACTGGCCTGCGCTTACTTCGGAGACTTCGTTGAAGAGCGAGATGGTGAGGAGCTCCTTGAAGGACTGCTCGCTGATCTCGCGCCGCAGCTTGTAGAAGGTCTCCTGAGAGTTGGACAGTTGCATACAGCGCAGGAGCTCCTTGTGGCACTCCTTCAGTCTGTGCAGCTCCGAGGGAGACGATGCCCCTGAGCCGGCCATCATAGAGCTGGACAGTCCCGACATCCACTCGTCCCCCATGAAGTCCTTGACCAACCGCTGTTTCCACTTTGAGGGGCATCCTGGTTTTGGGGGGATCCGAGCTTCGAGATCTGCGAGGGAGGGGAACAAGGGGCTGGACTTGGGCCGGGGAGGTAGTTTGCTGGACACACTAATTTGTGTCGCCTCCTTCACGAAGCTGTTCGGTTTCGTCATATCTTCCTTGGTGATTTCTTCCACTTCCCAGTCCGGTGGAGGGGCCGGATACTTCTGCGAAGGGCTCACTTTCCAAACAGTTCCATTCTTTGCTACTAGGGAACTACTCTCCGCCCCCTCAGTTCTTTGCCTTTTATTTAAACGATCAGGAGACGTCATAGTGCTCGGCTTCAATTCCCCTTTACCATCCTTCAACTCGTTCAACTCCTCAAATTCTATTGAAGCTGTATGGTAGTCTAATGAGCCTTCTGTAGAAGAGCTGACCGTCTTTCTGACTTGGGTACTGCTCTCAAGAGCTTCGTCCTCGACTGAGATCAACCCTTGTATTCCTCCTCGGCTGTCGTTCTTTCCTTCGCAGACGACACTATGGCTGGTCTCCTGGGCAGAGATCATGATACTGGAAAGGTCAGAGGTCATCACAGAGCCAAGGTCAAAGCTGTGCAGGTCAAAGAAGGGTGATTTGGACTCTGAGTCTGGCACCGAACCGTTCTCTGTGACACTGTCCTTTTTGGCGTCGGTGTCGTGGCTGGTCACTGTCGTTTCGGCCCCCCAGAGGTCAGTACTGTAGGGACTCTGGAAGCTCACCTCACCAGACAGTGCGTTGGTCGTCTCGGTGCCAAAACTGTCGTGGCCGCCAACGCTGTCAGTGAAAGCACCCTTCTCCCCCGACAAGTCTGCCACGCGATGTTCAAAACATGCCCTAATCTCTTCTACTCTGGATGCACAACTCGAGTCAGAAGTCAGCCTGGCGTGTCCACCTCTGTTTTTGGCCGTCAGCACGGCTGGGGACGAGTCACCGGTCGAAAAAGAAGACCCCCTCATTACGCCCATAAAGCCTTCCGCGTTCTCCATCATAAACAACCCTCCGACCTCTTTATCCACCGAGAGATCTTTCTCAATAGACTGAACCTCTTCGTTATCGTTCTTCTCCACACCCGAGACAATCTCCCCTTCTCCACAACCGCCCTCGTTTAGAGGCTTGAGCAGCACGGGGATCTTCCCCGCAGGGTGCAACGCGTCACGGGTCACGTTCTTGGACACGACCACGGAGTCCGGCAGGCCTTGGAAGCTGGTGTTGGGCATGGAGTTAACCCTGAGGCTGGCGTCTGAGCTGGTGTAGGCGTTCCTGAAGTTGGAGCGGTCGCAGGTGCTGCAGCTGATGAAGCTGCTGCTGGTGCAGCCGTCGCCGTCCTCCTCCAGGTAGCTCTCGCTGTCGCGCTCGTTGTCTGGGCCCTCGTTGTACGTGGAGCGTGACTGGGATTGCGTGGCGTTCAGCAGATTCAGAGACTGGATGCTGGGCGTTTGGAGGGTGGTCTTGCTGGTGTTCCCGATGGCTTCGCTTTCGCTGCTCTCGCCGACGCTCAAATGTTGACAAACGCGGACGCACGATACGTAAGTCTCATACGAAATCTCTTTGGACGTTTCAGTCTGCAACATAGATAAACAATGTTGTGGTTTAAGTACTTCTACACTACAGACAGAAAACTTAGCCCAGGGAAACTAGTCAAAATGAGAAGTTTGCTTAACTGCGGTGTTTATGTGTGGACCAAAGGCCTTCAGAATCACTTTTGCACACAATACCCTTTTTTCTACACGTTTCTGATGGTGATTTAGGTAAGATTAAGCACTTATTATTTTCGGAAAAGGACGAAAAATTTCGGCGGGCCCTTGTGTACCTTTGGCACGTTAAAGAGTTTAAAGACTAGGTGGTTAAAAAATCATAGAACAGTAGGCCATTAGGTCGCCACTTAGGCAAAAAAATAAAATAAGATAAACATTTAAAAAATTCTCTATCTCTATCTCACTTGTAAAATATTAAGACAATCCTAACACCTTTCTTAATTCTTAACATACTGACTAGGCCTCTCTCTTGGAGTATACCACATGAAGTCAAAATTCTGAAGGAAGAGAAATAATACTTGGTCAATCTAATTCGTCTATAACTTTCGCCATGGCAAAACTGGATCATGCACGCTGCTTTAGGGGCGTCTGTCAAGACGAAAAAATGCAATACAGCTTTTTTTAAAAATTAATTTTTTCGGGGGGGTAACATTTTTAGCTTTTTATCAAGATATTGCATCCTTCCTCTTACGGCTTGTCACACCGAATCGTTCATTATCAGCTGGAAATGCACACCTTAGATAATGAAATATGCATTTCTTCTTTGGAGAGAGAGAGAGAGAGAGAGAGAGAGAGAGAGAGAGAGAGAGAGAGAGAGAGAGAGAGAGAGAGA